AAATTAAGCTACAAGTAAATGGACATACAAAAATATTCCAGCTTTCTGTAACAAGCTTTAGAAAGACCAGATTTCACAGTTAAATATTAAGATATTGTGATCTCCCTGTCTTAAAACCAGATAAGGAAATGGAAATCTATTATTAACTGAATGGTCATTCTGTTTATATCCATATATATCACAGAGAAAGCATGCTTTTCTGTAGCTTTCATGTGGCAGTTGACAGAAAAGAACAAGTAAAGAAACCAGCAAAAAGCACCGATTTATATAACTTTAGTTCCATATTCATATGGGCTATAAAATTGCTAGAAATGGTTGCTTTGTAGGAATAGTGTGTGACGAGCCATCCATCACTTGATATCTGGCCCTGAGCAGGCTTTTGGGAAGGTAAAGAAATGCAGTAGCTTCTGTGTGTTTGTTTTCATAAGAACATTCATTGGCAGGCCTGTGAAGCGCTCGCTGTGTCAATGATCTCTCCAAAGTCTTTCTTACATTTGTTAATTGCCTGAAAATTGCTGATATGCTCATTTCAGGGATTTTATTATAGACAGAAAGTAAGCACAGTGTTATAAAGTACACCTGGAAAACAGTCACGTCTTCTCCCATGATTTAATTTGTCCAGAGGTCTATGTTGACTACTTCAATCAATGCATGGCTTTTCCAAAGCAGAAAATTTCATATGAATTTGAGAATTAAACTATCAGCATAGCACTACTGAGTTTAGTCAATTTATACCCCAATGAATCCATAATCAAATATTTTTGAGGCTGTTTGCAGTGCTTGACACTCTTTAAATGTTAGACTAATATTATTACCATCTATTAAGCAGGAGTCCTTCCTATGTTGGGAATATTCCTTATCAAATCTGGGTAATCTTATTGTTGAACTATGCCTCAATCAACAGATGGAGTGGGAGTCTCCCAAGCTAATGACTAATAGGCAAGTGCTGCTCATTAGCGGTTTCCCTTTCATACTTATCACTTGCCATCCAGCCCCTGGGAAACTCGACTCTTGTAACCTCCTCAGTAATTGCTATGGACAAAGGTACTTCAAGGGGTGCAGGAATTAAAAGGAGTAAGAGAACCGTGTTGGTTTTAGCATAAGCAAAGGAAAATTTTCCAAAATGATAAGAAGTGGAAGTTTGGTGCTAAATGTAGAAAACTATGAATAGAAAAAACCCCCTATAACCACACGAACATTGTGTTTACTTAGAATCACATTGTCCTTTGCCATGTCTGGAAATATACAGTACTGGAGAATCTGACAATGTATTTCCATAGCGGAGTGTGAATTCCCCCCGGAATTCCATAACTTGTTGTTTCCTTGAACAAATAGAAGCATCTATCTGAAGTCATGAGCATGTTCTGGGAGTACCAGTTTACTCTGATTCAAATGCTTCCATAAAGTTACTCTGTTTTGTTACAGAAAATACCACCTGGAAACAGCTGGGTAGGTGTGGAGCTATGATGACTGCCACTAAGTCCTGCTGTGTAGCACTGCTGGAAATTGTGTGCACTGAAAGACCGCAGTCGAACAGGCTGTTTTTGCTGTCGCCCTGAGTCAGTCCAGACTTCCCTCAACAGCCACCCTTCCTACCCTCCCCTGAACCCTTCTACCTTCAGACTTTCATGACATGACCTATTACGCCTTTTCTTTGCTGCTTCCAAGTACTTAAATTAGTGAAATCATACAGGCTCCTGTTGCTCTGTGTGCAGATAAACTTTGCTATCAGTTGCATAGCTGGTTGTGACTGATTTGTACAAGTCCCAGGCTGAAGGTGATATGGACAGTGCCAGGCAATGACAGTGCTGCTGCTCGCTCCCTGCCTTTTGCTCTATATAGCCACGCTCTGTGCAAAGGCCACTTTTTAGAATGAAGCTGCCAGAATTCGACTTCAGCCTTCTCTGTTCCTGAGGTTGGATTTATTTTCGTTTTTAAAATAAGCCATGTTTTTAAAACCAAAATCAGTAAAAATCTTCACTACATCCACCTGCATCTGACATCTCACAGGAAGCTAGCAGAGGAGTTCTTGGTTGAGATCGATATCCTGAGATTAAATTAATTACATGCCAATATTGTATAGACGTTTGTGGGAGAATGTCATTCCACCAGTTCCACATGCAAGTTTCACTATAAAAGTAAGGTAGAAATTAAATTCCCTCTGGACTCAGTGGGGATGGGCAGCTCCAGAGGGCACTTTGGCCATTCCTAAAATAGTTGAATTGCTTCCTGAAAGTGGCTGACTCCCTTTGCTGACTACAGCATCTCTTTCTGCCATGTTAGTTTTCCTATTAGCTAAACAGTGTTCTTGATTCTTTGCATATAAAAAGCCCCAGACAATGCAGGTTATAACAAGTCTAATATGTGGACAAATGAAACTCTGCACACTTTGAAAATATATGAAATAAACATTTTAATGTGAACAGAAGTATTCATGTTGCATTTTCAGGTTGATGTTAATTCTTTATTCTCCCTAATATGGGCATTCAGGAGTGTTAAACCTATGTGACTCCTGACAAAGGCAGGAAAACTGAAATGCCATCCCGGAAGGGAACCAAGCTGGATCTGTGTCTATTATCCCTTTGCAAATGCTGTACAATCCAATACTGATACTTCTGACAAAGGCCTATCAGATTCACAGTAGGCAGATAACAAATAAACTGCTCTTCCCTCATGGGTCTTATCTGATCTGTAGCAATTAAAGATTGGCTTGAATTTGGAAACTTTAAATAATCCTACAAAGCTCGTCTTCTAATTGAACTTGAAAATTCTGGAAATAGCTACTTGATCCTTTTCTCAATATTGAGTTATAGATTTCAACAACCTTCTGGTTCAACCGTTTGGTTGCATGAGTGTAAAAGTATTATTTTGATTTTACTACCTTTCACTTTTATAAAATGCCTCCTTGCTTTTGAACACACGTGCATATAGATTAGGAACTGTTAATGTTCCTGACATTGTCTGCTTATTTCTGCAGTATTTCTGAAATAAGTAATTTTAGTATTGTTTGTTTCTCAAGGAGTAAATCTGTTCTAATTCTCCAAACCCCTTTACCTAGATGCAGAGATGAGAATACATATAATATTCTAGAAAATTTGTCATAATGACTTCTATGAGCACATTTTTATGTTCTGTTAACACTCTTTAACATTCTGTTTCAGCCTTTACGTATCTTATTTGCATTTTGAGCTAGAGCTGTGTACACAGTTGCATCTTCACTTACCTAAGATAATACTGATGTCCATTTATTGACCAAATATTGCCATTCAAACATACCTATGGGTAATTCAGCAAAGTGTCCTAGAATTCACCCCACATTAACCAGCTTTGATTTTCCTTTCTGATCTTTGTGTCCATTCACCTACTGTGCTTGGATCCCTTTGTGTAAGCATCTCAGTTTTTATTGTGATGTAAATGGTATGTGGATTGATAGTGGAACTGAGATTCTACATTCCTAGGTAATCTGCATGAGAACACCTTAATTTTTAGCTCAGCATATTAAAGGAAAAAACTCCCATTTTTTATGTTATAAGTATTATTTAAATGAAATAATGAACACCAACAGCTGGAGTAAAAGCATGGGAGAAACTTTGTATTTTCTAAACCAGTTCCTGATTCACCTGCTTATTTCCCTAAACAGACAAATGTCTCTACCAAAAGAGTTCCAAAACAATGAATTTTGAAGGCTATAATTTACAACAGCCAGGCAAAAATGATTGTGGTTAATTTTCTTCTTTGAGATTTTAACCTGAAATTAATATTCTGAGTATCACTATTAAAGCAGGTGAACAGTTAGTTGAAAGAGTCAGTCTCTTCTTCATGCAAAAGGAAAGCTCTGTCTGTGCAGGCAAATTCCATTGACAGGTTGGGGGCTAAGGAGGGGAGGGGCAAAATGCAACAGAGAAAATTGAGACTGAAGTAAAAGGACAATCTGAGGATATAATTTAGAGAAGCAAGAGAGAAAAGGTTGAAATTATCTTTTTTCAGCAGCTTAAGGAGAAGATAAGGGTGCTGGAGTGTTTGAAAGGTGAAATAACCAATTCTGAGAGTGAGAAAAGCTGAGCAGGAATTGTAATTTATGGAGGTTAGGGACTGAGAAGTTTAGGTCAGACATAAGCTTCATGAGAATGCAACTTCTGATAATGGAGTAATCACATAAGACAGCAGGAAATTCAGTGTGGGGGATGTTTAAGGCAATCCATTGCTAGATATAGCTCTGAGGTCCAAAGAATATGCACCAAGCAAGGCAGGAGTAGTCTTTGTTTATACTTGTTACTTGGTGATGGCTCTTCTCGCAGTGCTTTCTGATGTCTTTCCTGATCATACAAAATGTTTAAACTGGAACTGGTTAATTAGACTCTCCTATTAAAATAAATTATTCTACTTCTGACAGTGAAAAGCCTGGTTTAAATTAAGGCCAAAGTGTGCAATCTGTGTATCTGTGTAAACTGTGATTATTGCTATGCATCACTGCTTTGCTGATGGCCAAACCAGCACAGTGACTACTGTATTTCTTGTGTATTCAAAATCACTCTCTAATACTGTTTAATATCACAGAAACAGGTTTAGAACAATTACATTAAATTTAACTACATTTCAATAAGCCTTTTTTCTTCCTTCTCCACCTGTCTTTCTATCCTTTTTCCCTGTTTCCCCCATGTCTTTCAAGAACAGCTACAGTCAGAGTCACACAGATATTTTGAGATTTGTGCAGTTCTAACTTTGAAAGAGATTCTCATCCATTATGAGCTGGTACAAATGCATTGAAGTTAGAGTGCATTTGTACAAATAGTTCTCTGTCATTTCCTCTCCCATCTGAAAATTCGTAATCCAGACCCATACTATAACTGTAGATGTCTAAACTAGGAATGTTTTTTAGTAAGCATGAAAAAGCAGAATAAATAGCAGGATCAAAATGTTATGTAAAGAAAGATTTTGATAGACACATTCCTTAAAAGCAGTATGCAGCCTAAATAGATTTTAAGAAATTGTGACCTTACCTTTTTTGTTGTTGATGTTCAGAAACCAAAGTGTGAGACTGCATTTTGATGTCACATTTATCACTCCCAGTTTGCAATTGACAGCAAGGCAGAGGACTGGGAGCTGAGGCTGAGATGATAAATCCTGTTGATGCTGTGTTATTGTGCTTTCTTCTTGCACATATCCATCCGGGTGAAATCTGACCTCTTTTTGTGGGGTTAAGAAAAGCAGATGGAGACTGCTGTTTCAGAAATGTCCATGGTGGGCTAAGGAATACTTGCTAAAGACTTCTCCTCTGATAAATCAGTTGTCATCTAAGGGACTCACTTGTGGTCCTACTTTGTCAGTTATAATCTAGTAAATATTTAACTTGCGAACTAAGAGACCTGGGGCTGTGTGATTTATAAGTGGGTGTAGCCTTCACTTTGGCATTTATTGTGGTCCTTTGTTCTGGACATAGCCTAACTAAATTAGCGGGTGAGGTAAGGATTGTGATTTATTGTAATTTCGGGATAGATAAAAACGCTAGACAGGTGCTAAAGGTTGTTTTTAACAAAAATGATAAACTTTCATATCATGAACTATTTTAAAGTAAATAAGGAAAATCACACCAAATGCACTCAAATGGAACTTCTGTGATCAGGAATGCTAATTTTTTTTAGAGATACAATGAGAATAGTACAGTGGATATGTAATCAATTCATGCTTTGAAAGCAATAATTTCATGGCACCTGTTCGATTTTTCCTGTGTCAAGTTTCATGACACCTTGATTTATCCTTCCAGTAGTGAATGAAGAATGAGAGGAAGCATGTCTCTGTTTTTGACAGGGTGCCATAATTGCCCCTGGGCCGTACCTCAGACTGCAGCATACACTTCCGTAACAGAGAATATCTACATCAAGTCTGCAAAGATTTGGGCAGAGGAATATGCATTCTCAAATATTCAAGCTGTATATTAGACAAATTGAAAAATCTGGAAAAGCTGCTTCCCTAAGCAGATGTGTCAGAAGCAAAGAGTTAAGGAAATGGGGAAACTGGGAACAGGTCAGAAATGTGAGGGGCCATTGCTTCTTGCACCAAAGTTTCAGGGGTTGGGGAACCTGACGTGTAAATCTCTGAACTATAACAGAAAGACATGGTCTTTTTTATTATTTCCATTTTGGCAATGTGGTATCTCTTTGAGATGTGGAAATATTCAAAGGCCAGCTGGGATATCGTTTTGTGTTTTGTAATAGAAGTAAAAGTAGGTTGGCACAGGCTTTGTGTAGCACAGGAACACCAGCTGTGTGGCAATCTGTGTCCAAGTCTACAAGACTTGTGCTGGCTGATCCAAGCTTTGTTCTGTCAGCAGTGTGCCCTGTTTCCCAGAGGTAACTCCTGCTGGGCGAGGTTGCCAGCTGTAAATGAGGTCTGTTCCTTGCTGATGCAGAGGAGCTGCTGACTTGTGAGACTCAGTAGTTACAGAGTTTTGGCCTCCTACCAGCAGAGCTGAAGGCTGTTGAACTCTGTCATGGTACCACCTCCTAGCTTTCCTTCATGATTTCTTCCCATCTTTTGGGTAGGTAAAAATGAAAGAACTGAAAACAGAGTTTTGTAGGTGTCCTTTCTTCACTTGGCCAGGTAGAACTCCTAAAAATCTTTTGCTTCTCATGCATATGCCGCCCTAGTTATTTGGCTTCAGGAAAAGATAAGAAAAATACGTTAAATACTAGTAAGGAAATAATTTCAAAGGAGATTAAAAGAGTAGTCTTTAACTACAGTGACTTGAACATCAACCCCTTTATTCAAGGTTTGCATCTTTAGATCGCATAGGAACCCCAAATGTTATAATTTCGAAAACATTTCATTTAAGAAGAGCTCTTGGCATCTGAACTCTCCCGGGGTGTGTGCAGTGCGTGTCCGTGCTGCGGGGCCAGCTCTCGGTGAGACCCCTCGGCCACCCCGCGGTCTCGGCCGAGCTCCGGTGCGGTGCCGTCTCCCTCTGGCGGGCGGTCCCGGTACTGCCGCGGCCGCTCGGGCCGCCTGTGCTGGGGCAAGGCGGTGGGCAAGGCTGGCCAGCACTGCCTCGGTGTCCGGGGCGGCGACTGCTTAGCACTTCAGGACTCTCACAGCAGTGCAAGAGTCCCAGTTCATTTAACAGTCTGTGCTTTTCTTACGTGGTTGGAAACAGTATAGCTTATTTTGGAATATTTGTCTTTTGAATTGTTTTTATTTAATGACCTCTAAAAATATACACATGAATTTTTTTTTTTTTTTTGCTACAAGCCTGCAAGCTTTTTTAAAAGGGAGTCAGAAGTGAAATTACAGAATTATATAATTTGTATGCATCTCCTATATATATATGTTTAATAAAGATTTACTGTGTGCTGCATTCCAGTGTTCATCACAAGAGTCTGGTCTACTGTGAATGGTTTGGTCAAATTTGGGTAAACCGATGCCTGAATGACGACATTAAAACCAGGACGAGAATGTAATGAACTTACACAAATATTCAGAAAAGACTGAACAAAACAGAGAGGTGCCTGCCAGACTATGACAGGTAAGGAAATGTTCCTTCATAACATGAACAGTTTTTTGTTTATTCATGAAAGCATTGTCTGAGTATGTGATGCAAGAGGCAAGAATATGCAGTTAGTGGTTTTGTTCTGGTCAGTCAAAACTATGCATAGTTCTACATTAAAGGACCACAAACCTCATTGGCTTTACTTTATATTAAGACTTGTGTCTTCATATAGTAGTATCTGTAGCTTGAAATCATCTTAATACTATTTGTTGTACTACCAGAACTTTGTCTGAAGAGAGAGTTTTTGTTCCCAGAACTGCCACGTGGTATTATAGGTGTCATGATACTTTCTTTACTTTCTTGATTACTCTCTTTTGACTCTTGCTGCTATTGAATTTTAACCCACATAGCTTTAAAATAAAAGAACACCTTTTGCTCCTCTGTTGAGATATTATTTTTGTTATTGTTGCTCAGTTTAACTAGAACAGAAAAGCAGTAGTGAGGTGGGTTGGCAACTGAACCACCAGGGGCAGCTGATGGATTTTTGCTCCATTATTTTTTGTTCAACCTGTCAGGTCTAAGAGGCAACAGCCAAGTCTGTGAAGTACCATCTTTTCTACACAGTTCTCATGAAGTGCTGCCTATATCAGCCAAGCGCTGTACATACTTAGACTTGCTTAAAAGTGGGGTAAAAATATTGAGATGTTGAAAATGCAAATTTACAGCATGACTTGAAGCCTCTACAGACTTGCAAATATTACCCAGGAACATTAAGAACTGATCCATTGCAATGGATAGGAAATTGTGTTTTGTTTGGCATGAGATCAGCTTTCGTATTAGTATTCTTGAAATTTCTTAATTAAGAAACTCTTAAATGTGTTGCAAACACTTCCAAACAAATATATACAATTCCTATTGTTATTTAGCCTCTCACAGAGTGCTGACAATAGATTGTTTGGGAGTTTTGTTACTATATATAATTTCTGTCTGAATAAAAAGAATTTTATCTTTATTGGGGTATTGTCGAAATACCTTTGGTTAATTTTGTGTCATTAGATACAGAAAAGCTGAGAGTACCAAAGGTCTTAAGCCAGTAAAAAATCCTGATCTTTTTTCTGCCACTTGAATGTCAATGGACAAAGATCCAGACACTGGAGGAGACACTTTTCACTGCTTAGCTCTGGCTTATGCTGCATAGCTGGTCTCATTAAATTAAAATGTAAAAGCCATTTTTTCTCTTGAAGGGAAGAAAATTACCTTAAATTGCCTCATTCTATTATCTTTAATTTAAAAAAATTGCCTGCCTATCTCTTTGTCTTTTACATAGTGTCACCTCACTTTGGGAGATGCAGCCTGATTCTACTTTTCAAGGGTGCATCTCTGGGTGTAGCACAAAATATATTTTTTCCCTCAGTATATTCTGCTGTTAGGATCTCATACCGAAGGACTTCGAGTGTGTCTAGATTAGTAGTTTAGTTCAGAAGAGGAATGTGCTTCTGAAGCTCATCTGCTTGCGCCTGCTAAATGCGCTTTGATTCATGATGTGGAGCAGTCTTGGGGTGCTTTATTGGATCTCTTTGAGATGAAACAGAAAGGACAAGTGTTGCAAGAGCACGGCACGTTCAGGGCTCACTGACTGCACTCAGTCACCAGTCAGACCTGATCAGTTGTTTTTTTTGGCATAAGCCCCCGTGAAATATGCATGGTAAGGATGTCAGGTCACCAGAACCAATTGTTTCATTCCACAGCTCTATTTCTCATGAAGCCCAGTCCTTGCTGATATGTCCATGGCCTCTGATTTTTGTCTTCATTTGGTACTTGTAGTTTTATATTATAGTTGGAGCTCCAACATTTATTAATCTGTCTGAGGCAGATGTGTCTCTAGCACCTAAGAGAAGGAAATGATCCTCCTTGACATTTTGGTCAATTATTCTATGGAATTAGGATGGTAAAAGTGTCCTCCAATTACAAAGTCAGTCCAAACATATGGTTTGAACTGAGCACACAAAATACTTGATTTGCTTTTCAGATATGAAATACTAGTAATTTTTCTTCCTCTCTGGAACTCTTAAGCAGGAAATAAGTTTCAAAGCCACATTATTGTAATAGTTTGTTATTAACTCCCCTGTGCAGCTGAATGAAGCCTTGGAAAATTTGGGATAGAACTGGGCTGTCCTAATGAAACAGCCCAGTTTCATATTATCTACCAAGCTAATAGTAGCTTCAAAATTTTGCTTCATTAACTGTAAAGCATTAAAAGCTCAAAACCACTGTGTAGGATGTATTAGCCAAAAACAATGAAATGTGCTGACCTCAAGATATATGTTTCCATGTACAAATATGAGGGCTCTGTAACTGAGACCCATTAGGTATTGTGGCTATATTGGCTGAGTTAGTAGCCTCAGGTGCTGGCTGACATTCAATATTGTCAATGTTTTTTTCTGTTAGCTATAAAAATGGGGGGAGGGGGAACTGGGGAGAAGAGCAATCCAGTCTAAACTAGTGTGAAGGTCCTTAAGATGCAAATGAAAATCTCCTCTCTACCCTCTTTCAATATATATAGCTAGTGCATTCTGGCTTTCTCCCTGTTAGAAGAAATTTATTATTTGAGACTGAACTGTGTAGATTTCTGTGCTTCTCAGTGGCTGTGCTACAATACAGAGATCATAGATCTCATTCCCATGTAAGGACACCTCTTTTTTTCTGCAGCAGGAACTCATTAATTTTAATATACACCAGTGAAGCAGTTGAGTGGGCTTTGAGGTCTCCTTCATAGCAGCATGTTGTGCTGCTTCTGCACCACTGAGTTCATTATTCTTTTATTAATAAAGCAAGGAG